ATAATTCAAAGACATCAATTTCACTTTGATCTTCCTTCTGTATATACATCCTCTCCTTCAAGGAACTAAAAATTAGTAAGTATAAATTCATCCATTTTGGCATAGAATATATCAGATAACATTGTTAAAATATAAATTGCTAGTTGCAGTGCAAGCCTTTCCAATAGTTAGGCCTTGGGACGGCCTTTCAAACTTTCCTTCCAATCTGGTAGAATAATCTTCAATGAGATGTCCTGCTTACTTAAGACCATGCATCTTCAGCAGTTCGAAAGCACCAGATGCTCCACAGAAGACTGACCAGTTTCCTCCTGTTAAAATTTTCAGCCTCAGAAATACATTCAAGAGGCTTTCTCCACATTATTTCTTAAAGAACAAATATGCATTCCTTTGTTTAATTTGCTAGTTGAGCAACCTCCACATTTCCTTTCCAACAGGAAAGGTCCATCCCATCTATGAGAAATAACTTTCTAATAAACATATCTTGACTTTTGACCTTTAAAAAGGAAGTACAATGGAGGGTTCCTTGGAGTCAGAACGAACAAGAGCAGTGAGCTTGATTTTTGAGCATCAGGTTCCCAAGGAGCCCTTTTGGTGTAGTAAGTGCCATATAGAGTGGCTAACCATAAGCTCAGTGGTGAAACTCCACCAGTCTTTAGGACAAAGCTGGGTGGTTTCCTTCCATAAAGATTTACAGCCCAAGAAACCCAGTAGCTCTGAGTGAGAACACATATTTGAGAGCAGTGAATTTGGTTTGTATGATGTTCTAAAACCGTGTTGCTACTGCTGAACAGTAGTTTGAAACTGTTGTTTGGGATAAGATATGGGCCTCTCTCTACTTTTAGCTCATAGTGAAAGACCATTCTTTGCTATAGCCTATAACAAAATTTTAGACTTAAATTCTAATTACTGTTGTTGTTATGTACCAAAGTGTCAGAACCAACTCATAGCTGACCCTCTGGTTTTTAGAGGCAGTTCATCGTATGGGAAGAGATTGCCCATCCTTCTCAGAGCAGTTGGTGGATTTGAACTTCCTTTGGGAATGTAGCACAGCTTCTTGCCACTAGGTCACCAGTGTTTCCTAAATTCTAATTAAGAAGCATTATAATTTAGTATTTACTATATAATATTAGTCAATGTGCACATGATCTTTAACTTAAATATATGTATCCAAAATTTTTATCTTACCCAAAGAGAACTCTGGCCTTTACCTTTGACAATTAGAAGTGCATAAACCCTTGAAATTTCCCGTATTATTCATTGTGGTTCCTTTAGATCACACTAGGTAAGTTTATGCTAACAAAGTGGCCAGTCTTTGAAGAAAGAAATCATGCTTGGAAGGGTGGAGGAATAATGCAGAAGAATAAGACCCTGGATGACATGGATTGACACTGTGATTAGAGTAATAGGGGCAAGTGTATCGAAGACAGGGAGATTGGCTCAGGAAACAGCAGAGTTCATAGCTATTGTGCATAGGGTCATAGGAGTCGCAGGCAACTTAAGGGAACATAACAATAATAATTAGCTTAGTTGATAAAGGAGGCTCCGTCTAACTTACTTTGGACATGTAGTGAGGAGAAACCGGTCCTTGGAGAGGGACATCATGCTTGGGAGGGTGGAGGGACGGCGCAGGAGAGGAAGGCCCTCTATGAGGTGGATTGATTCAGTGACTGGG